ACATTGTACTCACTCATTAAGTCTTGAAGTTAATTCCCCACTGGCATTAAGATCAAACCATCCAATGTCCTGGTGAAGAACAGCACGATAGTAAGCTAACCTAATCTTATACACTTGTCTCTCACAGGCCAGTTGCATTGTAGAGATTTGAAGAAAGGCCAATATAAAGGTAGCAACTACTATTATACCATATAAATATAATTGCCAGAATACGCCATCTCCAACGCTCCCATCTCCATTGAAGAAAACATCATTAGAGAGACAGCGTGCTTCTTCATTGAAATCTCTAAACTGAACTTCGAGACAACGCGAACAAGCATTGGTTGTCACTTGAAACATGTAATCATTATCAGTTGCTAGCCTCCGGAGGACTTCAAATGGAGAATCAAGGTCATCAATACTGTCATTAGCATAAGAAATTATAACACAACTGAGACCGGTGAGTATCGAATCTGATAGACCAGCTCCAAATCCACTTGCATTATTGAACTCCATCAGCAATGCCTGGTTCATAACTAAACCAGGGGTGACTGTCCTATTCTCTATAGCTTCAGAGAGACTAAGATTAAGATTCTGGAACAAATAGCTATTATAAGTATTATAATAGTTAACACGAATGGTCTCAAACACGGTCCTGGAGGAATCATGGTAGGCAAATAAGTTGGTGAGATCACCAAACAGATACATAGCACCTGGTAGAGCAGCACCATGCAGCATGGCAAAGATGAAACTTAGAATAATGAGAACCATGTCAAACTTGGTAGCATATCGAAACTATGAAGGAAAGAGAGGGTACAATAAAGTTTGACATGTGTACATGTACTCAGTGCTTACCAACTTGTAAACTGGAACGGGTTTCGGTTTGTTTGGATCCACTTCAACTTCTTCGTCTTTCTCCCAAAACTTCCAAGCACTCTTCTTCTTCCTACATGACACCGTACATGCATAATACATCAACTAATCAACAGCACTTCATACATGTACATGTACATATACATGTACAATGACCTCAGTGAAATAAAATGTACTCACAAATACACAAAGCAGGCCACAGCTGCATCAATAGCAACACGAATACATGACATGCAATTTTTAAATTAAAAATGTATGCACGTAATGACATAAAGTAAACACAGTTTTATTGCCATACAAATGAATGTATCAATTACCATGTACTTAAACTTTTATTACACATTATAAACACTTGTAAAATTGTACATAATTTATTATTTGTTAATTTATACTGAAACAGTAAACTTTTGACCAAACTCTAAATCAAAAGCCCACACATAATTTACACAGTGCAATTGGTTATACCTACTATGTAAACTTAAGTATTTACAGGTTCAATAAATATGTATATAAGCTTTCTAAGGAAACAGAAAAGCACCTCAGGCATCATTAACTTTTAAGCTTTAATTAAATTTAAATTAAATGAGTCCACCATTTTTCACTCTAAGCATAATTACGGAGAAGAGGAACCATAGGAACTCACTTTCCACGAGTTTCTACGACAGGGTCCCGGTCCTCAAATGTATCTGTGACATGTACAGTCTTGGACGGTTCATTAATCTCTTTGAGAGGTATGGTGTCGCTAGTGGAAGGATAGACGGTCATCTTTTTCGCTGATCTGCGAGGAGAATCGTCTAGCCCTCCATTGGCCTCCACCGCTGGAGGTTCCTCTAAGGACATCTCGCGCTACAAAGAGAAGTTCGAATGGAAAGCACAAAAATACAACCCTTTTCTTTCAGAGTAAACGAAAAGGTCCAAAGGAATGAGATAATGATTGAGAAGGAAAGAATCGGTCTTTTATATAAATTTGTGTATCAGTCGTGCACGTGTAATCTTCATGACGTCATATCATTAATCTTCTTATAATCGTCTCTTTTCATATCATGTCATTCTTCTTCTTTTAATTTATAATACAAGTACATTGAAACTTGAACTAAGTCTAAAATGCATTACTTTTAATAAAAGAAGCATGGATTCAAGCTAGGTGCACTGTACAATTCAAATTTAAGTAAACATTTTCAAACAAGCAACACCTAAATGATCTGAAGTGAATTGATAGACAAGCTTTGTTTGAATGGACCTTTAGGCAAGAATACTACATGTAGTACACCGTATTGATAACAATGCCCATATAAAAGTATAGCATGGTCAATATTGATTTGTTAGAGTATGCATGGCTAATGTCAGTAATGTGGGTATCAAGGTTTCTAAAATACACCTTGTTTGTCACTCACTGTTACTAAAAATAATGTCACTAGTACATTACATCATCGTAAATGTCAGATAATAAAGCCTTTATGATAATAGTCTTTAAGTCTACAAGGTCAAATACTTCGTTGGCACTCAATCAATTTGTGGTTGAATTATTGCTTTTGTTACTAAAAATAACTCTGAACCTTACATCATCACCATTCTTGAGGTGTTACCATATAAGGAAATGAGTAAGTATAAATAGAAATCTAACAATAAATTCACTTTATTCAAGATACTTTGTTGGCATTCAATCAACTTGTGGTTGAACTATTGCTATTGTTACTAAAAATAGCACTGAACCTTACATCATTACCATTCATGAGATATTACCATATAAGGAAATGAGTAAGTATAAATAGAAATGTAACAATAAATTCACTTTATTTATTGTTTTGAGGGATTAAAAGTTCACCAGAGGGGGAATACAAGCAGCCAATTAAAAGCAAACCTGTCTGGACCCAATGGGTTTGTGGTTGAACTCAATTAATTACAAATCCACAAGGAATTATAAGAATTTTAAGAATAAAGGTGAATTGATTGAAGAAATTAAACAAAAGAATTATAATCTACATCTCTTTCTCATCGTCTTGGTCTTTATTGGTCAGTTTTTGCGCCATTAGTGGCCTAAGAGCAGAGCTCAAGCTATGAAACAGGCGTGGGAAGAGGATCTCTTGTCCAACTAGTAACTGTTTCATCCTTTCTCTCTCCTAGCAAAGAGCAATATACCATCATATTACAGTAACACAACACTAGTATAATTGCCATTACAACCTTCATAGCATAATAGCAGGGTTGTGGCAATGGGAGAGACACAAGTATATACACATATGTAGAGCCTCTACACAAGTAACACAACAGACACTTTGATACAAGAAAGTTTGTCTGTTTTACAGAGGTGTCCTTTATGTGGAGGTTATATTATACAGTAAGGAATGTAATTGGTTAGTCTGGTACACTACAGGGCAGGTGCTATCTGTGTCTGCTTTAGATCATACAGAATTGGTATACCGCAATGACTGCATGATACATGTATAGGTACTGTCAGTTTTAGAAAGTGTCTGTTTAAGAGAGGTCGTACATTAATGTGCATAGCTATACCTTTGGGGCAGCAAAGCAAGCAGGACAGTTTTCAGGTATCACTGGTAGAGAGACCTGCTTGGCAAATTGATCCAAGTCCCTTTCCCTGACATACACAAAAGGTCGAATAACTCTTAGATCTCCTTCCCTAAATGATTAGAACTACTTCATTCATTAATCTTGAAGGTGCTAGGGCCTCACTTGACTGTATAGTGAGCTTTCATAGTACGTAGATACCCATTATGAAATACAGCCATGAGGAAACTATGAGAAAAAATAACTAGAATAACCTCATTTGCTAAGAATTAAAATTAAACATGAAATATATCACAAACAAAAAAAAACATGCTAAAAACTACATTACTTAGTCTCATATAAGTACATGTACATGTACATTGTAATGTTGCAAGTAATGTACAAGTGAACCCTAATACCTTTCTGAGAGGTCGTCCAGATGTTGTCCAAAGGCTAACACATTGTATCCTTCTCTTCTAGCAGCAGAATAGAGCCTCCCTCTCTTCATTCTAGAGCAAAAGCTACATATGGAATCCAGCTCTGTTTGAGCTGCAGCTTGATCTATGATGGCTGAAGGAGAGGAGGAGGAAGAGAAAAAAAATAAAGATTTTAATATTTAAATGTATTAATTACACTGCTCTTCGTAAAAGTATGGTACTCCAAGACATGCCAAATAAGGAATGAGTGGGCGGGGATTGTAGGCAGAGCTTTTAGGATCGACAGTAACTGCACCGAGTGAAAACAAAATACCCTAAAAATAAAAAAAAATAATAATAATAATAATATTATTATTATTATTATACAACAGAAAAAAAAGAAAAAGAAAAGAAAAGCCTACACTAAAACATACAATCATTAAAATACAGTAAGCAGTTAAATGAGCCCATCAACAGAAGGAGGCATTATTATTATTATTATTATTATTATTATTATTATTATTATTATTATTATTATTATTATTATTATTATTATTATTATTATTATTATTATTATTATTACTTTTGATTTAGCGATGAATTGATACTGATTGAGAGTGTGTAGTAGAGAGAGTGAGTCCTTACCACCTGATAGACACACTAACACTCTATCACCATCTCTGATCATATCATACTCTTGTAACGCCTATCAGTGAGAAATCAGATCAATGAATCAGGAATCAAATCAAAAATATCAAGAATGAAAACCAGAAATGAAATCAATACATTAGGAATCAAATCAAAATGAATCAAAATGAGGTCAGTATAACTACCTCCATTGTTGGTTTGAATATATTCTTTGGTGGATGGTGGAATTTAACAGGATTCTCTTTATTACAATGTTCATCTTTTCCAGTCTCCTCTTCCTCCTTTTTCTCTTCTTCTCCATTCATCTGCTGCCTGCTATCAAAACCATACTTCTTTGGTGTGAAGGGAGCCTGTGCCGTTGGTGTGGGTGGAGCTTCACTGCTCAAACATTCCAGAGCTTCACTAGGCAGCAAAAACCATCTCAGCCTCTCAGCATCTTCTAATAAAAACTGACGCTGATCAGCTAATGACTTAATTGACGCCTAGAGAAAAAGGAACTTAGAATGTGGTTCAAATATCATATCATATACACATGTAACACAAGGTCAAAATATTGTACATGTACGTCATGAATGGTAGCTTCACTTCTTAGACTGTACTATACTGTATGTGGCATGTAAGGCATCAAGAACAGTTGACATACGTGAGCACTTACTTTCTTTTTATCAATTGAACTAAACAGTTCTTCAGCAATCTTCAACGTCTCCTGTAAAGAATAAAAATGCAAGTCAACATTGTTGTTAATCAACATACATGTACATGTACATGCGCATGTACTGTTGTTAATGACTAACAGTATAATCTGGTGCTGTGGGTTTAGCTGGAGGATTGGGTTGATGAGGGAATATAAAAGACGAGAGCCACTTCCTCTCAGAGTCAAAGTGATAAGAATGGTACCAGAATGAGCCGGAACCAGGATCAAACTGATACTAAATGCAATGATAAAATCAGTGTTAAGACCAGTGTTAAGGTCAGTGTTAAGATCAGTTCTAAGATCAGTGTTAAGATCAGTTTTAATATCATTGTTAATATCATTAAGATTAAATGAAAAATATAAAGGGACAATCTCATTCTAGCATAGAATGGATGGCTTTTTTTACCTGTGGGAGGAGCTTCCAGCCACACCTAGCAACCAACTCAATTGCCTTGACGACAAATTCAATCGAGTCCCATCCCATAAAATAAGAAAAAGAGAGACGAACCATCCCCGGGCGGAGTACCTCCCTCTCGGAGAACTCTTTGTATTGCACATGAGGCTGATCACTCCGTCGACTGCAACAAGACATAAGCCACACCCAAAAACCACACCCACTCACCTATCCTGCATTATTAAAGCTTCGTATTGTTCAGCAAGACCATCGATTCCAAGAAGTGACTAGAAATAAAAATAAATGAAACAACATAAATACCTTAAGGTTACTTTTAAATGCGGGTACTATTAATTGCGAATTTTGCGTTTCGGTCAAAAATTGCAATTATTAATACGTGCAATTATTAATAATGACATCATGATGCCATATAACTATTAGTAATAATTACTTAATCGCAATTTTTAATACCAGCAAAATCTACCTTGTGCTAAAATCACAAAATTTAGTACCCGCAATTAAAAGTCACTCTAAGGTACACGTTTGTCCTGTAAAAGATTTAAACTGATAAAGGAAAAGGTTATTAAAGTTACTTAAAAGACCAGACAATTATCCATTATTACAATTTCTATACATGTACTAATGTTGTGTATAAATTTTGAGCTCATTCCAATCAAAATTAGAACTTTTACAATTTTTAAAAGTTGCTGACAATAACCATACACGTAATAATAACAATAATCAAACAATTTACTAATAATTTACTAACAATTTACTAATAATTTACTAATAATTTACTAATAATTTACTTGAGCATAAGGCCCCGAGCAAGAACAGCCTCCCCTAGCTTGTATTCCAAACAGGTCTGACAGGAGCGAACACACATAATTATGATGCAAGTATTTCCCCGACTGGGGATGAAGGAAAAGGAGAGAGAATACAGGTAGGCGTGGAACTGAGGCCGGGTCCGGACCAAGGACGAATAATCCAGGAACCGACTTCCATTTATCATACACATATCTACATAAATGTACAAGAGAGTATATAATTAGTTAAAAAATAAAAAAAAAACATACAAAGAGATTTCTTCCTCTTTTCTTAGTATATTTTCAACTCCCACACTCTACAATTAAAATAATAATTGTAAAAAATTTAAAGCCTATTATTATGAATTTTTTAATAATAATAATAATAATAATAATAAGAATAAGAATAAGAATAAGAATACTAATAATAATAATAATAAAGTACCATTTTTAATTGCATGGCCAGTCCGGCCCTTATGGACCCTACTATATTAGGAGTACCTCCTTCCTCTCTCGTCTCTATGTTCCTAAAATAATGATGACCTTTCGGAGTGACCTTGAAAAAAATTAATAAAATAAACAAACACTATTCAATCACGTACAAAAAACACAGTCCCTCCCCCACACTGATGAGGGACAGGATTCTTGAAAAGGTTCTTTTTAGCGACAAGTACCCCTGGACTATCGACCCCACCTATAAACTTGTGCATTGAGAAATACACTGCATCTTTGTAAGCGAACGATGCTTCACTACTGTGAATGAAATGACTCCATGAAAATGTTATTACCATCAAGAGTAAATGTACCTTGTAATGACGGGGTTCATGTCAATTTTGATGTAAGGAGCTATAGTAAAAAATAAAAATATAAAAAAATTATAACTAATATGAAAATTATGAAAAATTATACTTAAAATTTGCTTGACTCACCTCCAGTGGCGTAGTCCCAGAAGACCAAGCCTCCATAGCGATGAACCAGGCATGACACAGCCACAGTATCGGTAATGACTCCTGTTAGATTAGATACTGCACTGAAGGCTCCTATCAGACTAATACTAGTATCATTAGTAGCACTGTACTCCTATTGAGAGAGAGAGAGAGAGAGGAGAAAATGAAGATAGATAATTGATACAGTATAGCTGCTCTAAAGGTTAGATTTTGCATATTTATAGTCATTCATCAAAATAAAACTATTGAGTAAATGGTCAAAATTTTAGCCTTCCAAATTTACCAGCTATTATGGAGTAGAATTAACGGTTGCATACTTTAAGTTTGTTCTCTAAATCTGATAGATCAATGTGACCATTCTTGTCTTCTTTTATCCACACAATCTACACAATAAATTACAGCAACACAATAATAATAATAATCCATGACAGGTATAATGATTATACAACTGGGCCACTCACTTTTGCTCCAATCTCTCTCCAAGGTAACAGGTTTGAATGATGCTCAAACGGTCCAACCAAAACAACCTATATATACATATACATGTACATGCACATGTATAAGAAATAAAAATTATATTAATATTACTTGTAGTCACAAAGATATACTGTCTATCTGGAAATTTTTACTGTGATTTAAATTTTACTGAATTAGAATTTTGCAAAAAATTAGATCACTCATATAATTATATGCCACATTCAATAATACATGACACAGTCTTAATTAGTAAAATTAAATCACAGCACAATTTTAAAACACAAAAAAAATTTCTACCATACTAATTTCCTGATCTACAGTATTTGAATTTGAAAGTAGCATACCAGCTAGGATACAACAATACAGTGCACATGTACTATAGTTCACTAACAGGTGGTGATGGGCAATTGAGTGAATGTATTAGCTTATGGACAGCTCCAGTGCAACCACTACCAGCAAATAAGACACAATCATCTCTTGTTGAAGCATTAACAGCATTTCTAATGATATCACTGCAATGGAGGAAGAGAGAGAGATAACAGTTGTACTGATCAGCCAGTATATTTTTTTAATGGCCGTAACTTGAAAATTTGGAAGTCAGAATCGGCTCAAACATTCTATACACCATAAGTACATCAATATGTATCAGCAAATGTAATAAAAATTTGGGGTGATTTTGGAGCCATTTTTGGGATAAAAAACAATGGGCAGGTAATTTTCAGATTTTGGCTCATTCTTTAAAATGGCCGTAACTTGAAAATTTGAAGTCGGAATCAGCTCAAACTTTCTACATAGCATAAGTACATCAATATGCATCAGAAAATGTAATAAAAATTGGGGTTGATTTTGGAGTTATTTTTTGGAAAAAACCATGGGCTATAATACAGGGTAATTTTCAGATTTTGGCTCATTCTTTAAAATGGCCGTAACTTGAAAATTTGAAGTCGGAATCGGCTCAAACTTTCTACATAGCATAAGTACATCAATATGCATCAGAAAATGTAATAAAAATTGGGGGTGATTTCGGAGCCATTTTTTGGAAAAAACCATGGGCTATAGTACAGGCTAATTTTCAGATTTTGGCTCATTCTTTAAAATGGCCGTAACTTGAAAATTTGAAGTCGGAATCGGCTCAAACTTTCTACATAGCATAAGTACATCAATATGCATCAGAAAATGTAATAAAAATTGGGGGTAATTTCGGAGCCATTTTTTGGAAAAAACCATGGGCTATAGTACAGGCTAATTTTCAGATTTTGGTTCATTCTTTAAAATGGCCGTAACTTGAAAATTTGAAGTCGGAATCGGCTCAAACTTTCTACATAGCATAAGTACATCAATATGCATCAGAAAATGTAATAAAAATTGGGGTTGATTTTGGAGTTATTTTTTGGAAAAAACCATGGGCTATAATACAGGGTAATTTTCAGATTTTGGCTCATTCTTTAAAATGGCCGTAACTTGAAAATTTGAAGTCGGAATCGGCTCAAACTTTCTACATAGCATAAGTACATCAATATGCATCAGAAAATGTAATAAAAATTGGGGTTGATTTTGGAGCCATTTTTTGGAAAAAACCATGGGCTATAGTACAGGGTAATTTTCAGATTTTGGCTCATTCTTTAAAATGGCCATAACTTGAAAATTTAAAGTCGGAATTGGCTCAAACTTTCTACACAGCATAAGTACATCAATATGTATCAGAAAATGTAATAAAAATTTGGGGTAATTTTGAAGCCATTTTTTGGAAAAAAACCATGGGCTATAGCACAGGGTATTTTCAGATTTTTGCTCATTTAAAAAAACTCATCATACCGTGCTTCGTCTCTATAAAAGGTCGTCTGTCTTGAACAAAACGATGAGGTGGTGTGTGTGTTTGAGTATGTACTCAGAACCTCTTTCTCAATCCAATCCTCTATCGATCGAAGGGATCTGTTGGTTGCTATGGTGACAAAAAGAAGTGGGAGGGGCCAGACTTACCTACCAGAAGCTGTATAATCAGTGTATATTACTAGGAAAAAAATTTTAAAAATAAAACAATTTTAATGGAATCTTTTTACTCTTTCTCTCGCCAAATGGACCACCAGAAACTGTACTGTAGCCAATTTGATCTTTTTCTATGTTCTCCATCATAAATTAATAATTTTTATAAGTACTAATAATTATTAATAACTAATCCCGGATGAGGCCACGTGGCACAATGACAATAAATAATTAATAACAGAAATAATAATAATAATAATAATAATAATAATAATAATAATAATAATAATAATAATAATGATAATAATAATAATAATAATAATAATAATAATAATAATGATAATAATAATAATAATAATAATGATAATAATAATAGCACTGCTTATTTAACTCATGTATAATAATACTTATTTTATGTCAAAAGTAACTAAAAACAGAACATTACTGTAACCCCATGCACTGCCCCACACGTCCTCTCCCAATCAAAGTTTCGCCACATCCTTTGAGAACCGTTTGTTTCGGTTCTCTCTCTCTTTGAGGAGTTTTAGCGCCTTTTGCTCCTTGCGTACATCAATAGCGAGTCCAGCAGTAAGCATAATGTTGATGAGTTGGAACACAAGGAGGCCTATGCCCACTCCAGCTATGTAGTAGAGGTATCGCTGAATGAAGTTCTCAAGACCAACGATGCAACCCTCGGTGTATATCTCTTGAAGGTATCTGTCACTCTGTAAGAGGAGGAAGAGAGAGAGTGTGTAAGAGATATGTATATATAAAGATATCATAAGGTATAAAGGGAGAGGATTAGAATTAAGCGAATCAAGTTACAGGAGAGAAAGAGAGAGAGTGATTAAAAATCAAAGAGAGAGAGAGAGATGGGAGAAAATCAGAGAGGTAACACACGTCATTTTGAAGACGTCTGTATCCACACTGAGTATTAATAACTTCATCATTGTTATTCTAAAAATAAAGTGATTAGAATTATTACTGTATATAGTACAAGGAAGATATCACATGTCATCAATTACACATTCCATACATGTAATCATCCATTAAAAAGGAACTAAAGACTACTCATAGTAGCCATACAGGCACTGTACATGCACTACTAAAATAAAAATAATGATAATAATAAGAAAGAGATACTCATTCAATCAATATCTTATGATGAATTAACAGGAAATGCTAAATACACTATAAAAAACACAAACAGCAACAAAATGCTTTCAATATAATAAATATATTTTTTGAACACAAAAAATGTCTTTATGCAATATAGCTACATGTATGTATTACATTATATCAAGAAAATGAAGAGTTATAGCTAATGATAGCATGCAAAGATCATAATAATAATAATAAAATAAATTAGCAATGATAATAATGATAATGGTAATGCTGTTTCAGTGTAGTGATTGCTACATTCCTTCATTCCTTGTTGACACATCAGATGATGATGACTCAAAATATTCATTAACCGATCAATATATCATGCCAAAAATAGTAACACACAACATACAATAAATGATAACAATTAATCCACAAATGTAGATGTATTGTACATGTACAAGTACATGTACAAGTACATGTATGTGTGACTATTATTATACTCACCATAATGCAACAGGAAAACGGGACACTACACCGCTGATATGCAATACTACTGCAATTAAAGTAGGCATTTCTCTGCCAGTCGTTAGGCCCATTGATACCACAGCACTGCAACTGGAGAAAAGAAAAAAGGGAAGGTTTGAGCTTTAATTAGAATATCCCGAGACTTACGGAAGTCTGTACAAGGTCAATTAGACTCTGGAGGTCGGCGTCATCATAGTAACGAACGATTGGTTGCTCTAGTTGCTCAGCAAATTGATTCTTAGCCTAAAGAGAGAGAGAGAAGGGGGGGAAGAAGATAATGAGGTTTGATTGATAGAGTGGTTAACTTGAAACACACATTGTCGTATTGGAAGTAAATGTAGACTGCAATACCAATCTCAATGATAACAATGACAGTTAGAACAATGGCATACTAGAAATGAAAAGGAGGGAGAGAGAGAGAGAGAGAGAGAGAGAGAGAGATCAAAAAATATAAAAGGAATTTAAGAGCCAAAAATAATAATATATAATAATAATAACAATAACGTCACTCCTCACTATAACAAGTAGAAGGAATATTTCTCTCAAGGCACCCAGACAGCCGCAGAATCCAAGAATGAACATGATCCCACCCAAACAAATAAGGATAATACTTGGACTGGAGAGAAGGCTACCGACACCAATCTCATTGAGAGTACCAATCTCTACCTGAGCAAATATACCGGCAGCAAGCAGGGCACAACCAAGCAGCTGGAGAAGAGAAGCAAGAAAAGAGAATATAATTATACATACACAATATGAATGACAATATATATATATTTCAATTGAAGAGTCACATTCCGGTTATTTTCAGTATTTTTGAGTAGTTATTCAAAAATAACTAGCAATGACTACTCAAACTCAATGAAAATACGGAAGTATCCTGAATGTGACTCTTCAATTCTACACCATGACAAAGCAGGGGGTATAGGCACAGTAGGACACTCTCCTCTAATTATTATCTACTCTTGACAATATAAATACACAGTTTAATAGATCTAGGAGTTTAGTCTCCTGTATTTAGTCTAGGTCTCCCTAAACCCCATTTTTAGCCTCATATTTAGCCTAGGTCTCTCTAAGTCTCCTATTTTTAGGCTAGATTGGTCTCCTAAAATTTATTTCTAACACTATCAACTTACCCAGACCAAGAAGTTCATTATAAAGAGAAAGAACTTTATGAATAAGTTCCCCCAACCGAAATCAGAGTCATCCCCGTACGCCATGATCCTTCTCTGTCGTATCACAGGACACCTGACACTAAACAGACACACCAAAATAGGACCAAAGAATGACTGGATGAACTTGAACTGTGTAACTGAGGAATCTAAGAAAACAAAGAGGCGTGGTTTGCCGTATAATATCTAATATGATATCTATTTAGAAGGATTCAAAATGGCGGAAAGGGTGCCTGTTATTTATGGTCTAGAATTTCAAGTGAGTCTCCAATCTCCCTTCATCTCTCATTCTCTCTCTGCCTCTTAGAGTCGTGCCTTGACGTCCCGCGTTGGAGAAACCGAGAGAATACAGTTCCTGTGTGGTACGCAAACTATTAGGAACGAGAATCAAGTAAAACAAATGAGCCACGCCCATTTATATTAATTTCCCCCCCCTCACTCTCTCAGATTCATTTGGTAGATTACGATGAAGAGACGACAATTCTAAACAAACTGGTCTACCCGTACTCCGAAGGGGAGATATGGTAACGGTAGCAACGCTATTCCTTTCACACCTACATGTACATGTATTTTTAGGAACATTACATGTAGTGCAGCTGATAAGGACCTCGTTGCTGTGACAACAGGGAAGATCGACAAAGAGGGGCAATACGTGAGACGTGCTAATCTAATCCGATTGGACGGAGGTACACCTGATGAGACTGACGTGGGAACTGTGAGATCACTAGGGGAACTCCCTTCAATGGATGGAGTCCAATGGTAACGATACAAGAGGACTTTATGCTGTTGCTTTGGAGTGTTGAAAAGTTTGAAAAAATGAGCCTTAGCAATACCTTTTTGTATTTTAAAATTGGGAAAGTGGCTACACATGTACTATACTTGTATAACATAAGTGCTTTTTGCAAGCTTAGATGGATTTTTGAAATTAGCAATCCTTGCTTTGCTTTTGATCCCATTACAGTACACTGTAACATTAACATCTTTAATTTCATTATAAAACCTTCCCCTCTCTCTCTCTCTCTCTCCTCTCTCCAGTACATCATGGCACCCAGCTGGTGGATCACACAATCAGTTGGTGGTAGTGAATGACAAAGCTAACGTTAGTCTTTGGTCCGTTGATACCGATACTCCGCAAGAGACCAGTAAAGTACAGCTGGACTCAAGAGGGCGGCTCAATTACTCGTCAATCTCGTGGAACTCTCATCACAACTACAGCACAGTGCTGGTTACTGCTGACTCGGCACTTTATTCTTGGGATATGAGAACTAAAAAGTGAGAGAGAGAGAGGGGGAGAGAGACAGAGACAGAGAGAGACAGAGAAAGGCAAAGAGAAAGCTACTTGTAGGTCAGAAATGGGTAGCTAATACTTTGTATGGTTATAAATATCATTAATTTTTTCTACATACATGTAATATAAACATTAAAAATAATTTTATTGGTAAACTACAAAGTGTCTATAGTACATGTACATGTACACTGTATGTAGAGTGATGACAAGAGTGGATGATAATACATAATAATTTGATATTAATTTCTCTCATTTAGAACTCATCAGTTATTGGATCATCACCACGGTCCCTGTATAAGGGACATTGACTCAAACCCAAACCGACCCTACTACTTCCTATCCTGCGGCGATGACTGCACCACTCAGTTCTGGGACTGGAGGAAACTTCAAGGACCTCTAGTCACGAGACGAGACCACTCCCATTGGGTGTGGTCGGCACAGTACAACCTCTCGTATGATCAACTGGTACTCAGTGGGTCTAGTGATAGTCAGGTGAGCCCCGCCCATAACCACACCTATTTTATGGTTATTAAACAGGTTTTGTTGACTAGAGTGGCTAGTGTTGCATCCGAACCATTGAAGCATCTTGATGATGAAGATGAGCCAGCACTGTATGTACATGTATTTAGTATTGTACAAAAATGTATTTAAATGTTACTGCATGTATTTAGATTAGTTTCATGGTGGGTTTGCAATATTTTTCATGTGTTGTATAATGCAATGGAATGGTAAATATAAAAGTACAGTAGGGGTCTATTTTTACATTAAACGGCAGTTTAAGTTGCAAGAAAATATTCTGAACCCACTTTTAGACCTACATGTACACACACACACACACACACACACAATAGCTGATAGTGTACATGTGTACTTTGAATCTTCATACATGTATGTACATGCATTCACAATACAATATACTATGCAGTAGTTATGCATCATTCAAATGACATGAATATATATTAATAATTCTCATTCTTTTCTTCCTTTCCAGTCCTCCAACAGATAATGTGATATCAGTATACGAGGAGCACGAGGACAGTGTGTATAATGTTAAATGGAGTACCACTGATGCTTGGGTATTTGCATCACTGAGCTATGATGGGAGACTAGTCATCAATCATGTACCAACCAACGAGAAATATGCCATATTGACTGCTTGAGTGTATAACAACAATATAATAATAATAATAATAATAATGTGTAGATTAATATAGTAATGACGATTTGAATTTGATATTTATGCTATTAATAATGTATTTTAACCCCACACTGGAACATGATTTAGAAAAGAGCTGAGATTTAGCATAGATATTAGCAAGATTTGCTAAAAAATAAAATAAAATTCAAAGAAACTATACAGTACAGCAAGGTGAATCTAATATAAAATTTAGATTTTCTTATCATTCCACAAAAACCAATCTGTCTTTAATATGCTCATAATAAGGTAAAGAAGAACAAGTTTCTTCATGTTGTTCGTCTAGTCTGAGTATCATTAGTGTATTATAGGTCTTGAGTGATTCTATTAGTATCATTACTCCATCAGTTTCAATGTTAGTATGGTGGAGAGAAAGTCCATTGAGTGTGTTGTTAGTGAGTAAAAGTTCAGCCAGTGACTGCGCACAAGCTGAAGTGATGCCAGGATTGTAACCAAGATCTAAGGATTGAAGTGTTTTATTATATTGTAGTGATTGTGCTAGTGCAATGACTCCATCATCACTCATTGAACCATGAGTTAGTTGTAGAATTATTAATGATTTGTTGGTTGATAGTTGAGAAGAGAATGAGAGGACATCATCACGTAATAATGAGGAGTAGTATATAGCAAGTTGATTTATTGTTCCTCTCTCCAATACAGTTGGTATTAGGACCTGTATACTGTCAGATGATGAGAGTTGGAGTATAATGCTTGTATGTTCCTCCTTCAGTTTACTGATTACCTCCTTACATTGATCTACTGATGGACTAGTGAGTTGTACATCATCCTGACTCCACTCCACCTTTCCATCCTCTTGTACTAATAATAAACACACAACTAGTCAGTTAATGCAAGTATTCATTGAAATTAAAATAATAAACTATTGCTCACACACACATGCACACACGCACACGCACACACACACACACATAAACTGATGATGCAGTGGGTTATGTTGTATCATTACGATTACAATGCATATACAATAGCAAATTTGAATATTGTAATTGACTCACAATTTACTGTTAGTGATTTATCATCAGGTTTCATTTCAATGTCTTTATTACCTGTATGATTATTAATACAATAAATATTCATTTATTTGTTCAAGTACTTGATATGACATCATCAGATGATTCATCTTTAATTGTCTCTGATGTCTCTTCAACTGGTACTTGTAATCCTTATAATAAAATAAATATTAAATTCATTTGTATTTAATGTATTATACATACTCTTGCTGTTATTGTCTTCAAGTTTCAGTTTCAGTTGTTCTATTTCTTGTAGTCTAGTCTCTGAAAGTTCCTTCAATGATGTTAACTCTTTCTCAGTATCTGTAGAAATTTAATTTGTAACTTAATTCGCACATACTATACACACACAGTAATGTAAGCAAGATTATCCTCTTTATAATAAATTCCTCTTCATTGATACATATGTACATAAATAAAGCCTCCCCATTACCAGTTACTTTCTTACCAATCATCTTTTCATCTTTTTGTTCCATGGTAGCCTTTAAGTCCTCAATCTCCATTGTCTTTCTTCTACTAAGTGCATATTGTGTCTCTAACTTCTTATTCAATTCATCAACAGACTCTATATAGTGTACATCATTAGATCAATACTCACTCTCATTAGTTGACCTATACCTGTTGGTAATATATGTATATGTTCTTTCTCTTGTTTTGTTTGTAATTTCATTTCAAGTTCTTGTACTTGTTTCTCCTTCTCAGCTAACTGTTGCTTCATTGACAATAGATCTCTCTCCATGTCTATGAGCATATAAACCACATTAAGAGGTTGAATATTACACAGGTTACTGTATACCTTCATAATTATTAACCGTCTTTTTGGTAGGTTGCTCAATTTCTTTACTTGTCATTGCTGATAATACCTTTAATAATATT